TTTTCTTCAAAGGGGGTATTCACTTTGATTATTTCAGGACGTGGAAGTTAAAAAAAGTGGGATGAACATCTTTTTCCTGATGGGAAATTACTTCGACTAGTTGGGGTTGTAATATCCTTTTCCGATTGGGTATGATTTCAACTATTTAGTGCTGTGGAAGTTAACCCGGGTGCATAAAACCCTTTTTTTGTTCCGGTTGTGTATGACATTGACTATTTCGGGGTTGTGGAAGTCAACTTGGGTGGGTGAACATCCTTTTTTGATTGTATATGACTTTGACTACTCCATAAATTAGGTGTAGCTTAGATCAATGTATTTTGTTAGTTAACAACTTAACATGGCGTCAAGGAGTGGCTAGGTTCGCAAGCAAATCAAAATTAGTGATTAAATTGCAATAAATTGAAGACGAATGACATGGATGCCACTCCACTCAAACTTTGGCAACCCATAATGCATTTAACTCTATTTAATTTGCAATTTTCACGTTTAGAAATGCATCAAACAAATTACGTGCAAGTAATTTCAAGATAAAACTTTGTCATGTTCACCATTTTGACCCTAGCTAGTCCCACTTCTCGTTCTCAAACTCATGCGACTTTCAAGTAGTAAGGTCATAATCAATCAGAATCACAAGTAATTTTTCGGAGTAAATTAATGTAAAAAAAAACTAGTTAAAGATATACAATCCGACATCTAACAAGGGCGCGCAAACTAATTTCTTGTAATCAATCAGAATCACAAGTAGTAAGGTCATAATCAATCAGAATCACATGCGACTTTCAAGTAGTAAGGTCATAATCAATCAGAATCACAGTAATTTTTCGGAGTAAATTAATGTAAAAAACAAACTAGTTAAAGATATACAATCCAACATCTAACACACGCGCGCAAACTAATTTCTTGTAATCAATCAAAATCACAAGTAGTAAGGTCATAATCAATCACAATCACAGTAAATTTTCAGAGTAAATTAATGTAAAAAAACAAACTAGTTAAAGATATACAATCCAACATCTAACACACGCACGCAAACTAATTTCTTGTAATCAATCAGAATCACAAGTAGTAAGGTCATAATCAATCACAATCACATGCAACTTTCAAGTAGTAAGGTCATAATCAATCAGAATCACAGTAATTTTTCGGAGTAAATTAATGTAAAAAACAAACTAGTTAAAGATATACAATCCAACATCTAACATGCGCACAAACTAATT